CCTCCCATCTTTTAGGGAAATTCCACCTAGATGTTAGGAAAGCAATCAAGTTTCTCTTATAATCCTTCTACTACTGTTTGCATGTTAACTCAAAAGTGCAGTATCTCTGGCTGGTGAGGATATAGCTCAGCAGGTAAAAGCACTTGCCTTACAAGCCTGAGGACCTGAATTCCACCCATAGAACACACAGTAGAAGTTGAAAAATGACTCCTAAAAGTTGTTCTCGGACCTCCACAAGTGCCATGTGAACACATACACATAAAATTAATTTTTTTGGTCTTTTTGAGCCAGGGAGACCATGTCTCAAAAAGACCAAAAATAAATAAATTAATAAAATTGAAAAAATAAAATGAAAAAAAAGCAACTTAGGAAATTAAACCATTGTTGTGGCAGGATTGACCCTGTGCCACTTAGTTTACTCCTGCTCTTCTCCTTTACCTCCCATACTACTGCTTTTATGTGGCTCCTAGTAGCTAAATCCTTTTGCCTGTGACTCCAAACCGTTTTTGCCTACCACTGATCTACATATTTCGTTTATTTCTTGTGTGTGTGTTGTGTGTACATGCACATGTCACGGGACACATGTCAAGGTGAGAGGACAACTTTCTGGAGTTGGTTCTCTCCTACTGTGGATTCTAGGGACCAGACTCGGGTTGTGAGGCTTGTTCAGTGAGAATATTTGCCTGTTGAGCCATCTTGTCAGCCCTAGATATTTTTTCACCCTTTTATTCTTTCTCTCCATTAAAATTCTCTATATGCCCTATTTCTTTTAGAGTTTTACTAGCTAAGAGATAAATTAACATACGAAGATGTGCTGATTATTTTTTTTCCCAAGAAAATATTGCACTGATATTTACATAGTAGAATTCAAATTGATGGCATTGCTGATACCTCCAATTTGTTCATGGTACCTCCTCAGTAAGTATTCACTGACAAAGAAAGAAAAGACAAGTAACAGGAATTGAAAACACTATCATACTAGGTACTATGGTGATGCCTGTCATGGCAGCATGGGGCAGGCCAAGACTTGAGAGCAAGGCCAGAACATCCAACCACTCAGTACATGATCAGAAGGCCAAACCTAAGGACAGGAGGAGCTGGCAAGGGGGCTGATGAAGATCAGCTCTAGGCTCCACTGGACAGACTGAATTTAACAGGAGCTAAACTGTTCTGAGCTGAGCTGCTTAGATAATAAAAGATTTCCATGTTTATCTTGGAAGAACTAGTGGTAAAACAGCTAAGCACATCAGAGAATTGGTGAGGTTTGAGGGATCCACCCCACCATCTTCCTAGTAAAATGCTGCATTTTGTAACCTATTTTATTTCTTTGGGTATGAAGTGTTTTTGCCGAGCACTGTGATAGTGTCTATGCTTTGTCCTAGTTGTTTCAGTCCATCGTCCTGCTCTGTGCTCAACCACACAGCTATGAGTACTGGCCTTTGCTCTGTTAGACTGCTTTTCAGCTCTGTACTGAGCACCTCAAGCACTACAGAAAAAACGTCACTTCTTGGTTTAAGGCTCTTCTGTAATATGGACAAAGAGTAGAATTGTGGGGGGTTTGGGGTTTTTTGTTTGTTTATTTTGGTGATTATTTTAGACAGGGTCTCCCTGTAGCCCCAGCTGACCTGAAACACTATGTAGACAAGATTAGCCTGGATCTCATAAAGATCTGCCTGCCTCTGCCTCCTCAGTGCTGGGATTAAAGGTGTGCACCACTATGAGAGGCTGCAACTGTGCTTTCAAAGAAAAGCATTCAAGACTAATTCAATACTACCTTAAGAGATCACTAGGCATGGTGTACACAATTTTAACATATTTAATCCCAGGCAGAGGCAAGTGGATCTCTGTGAGATCAAGGGCAGTCTGGCCTACATAGTCCGTTCCAGGCCAACCAGAGCGATATAGTGAAATCCTGTCTTAAAAAAAAGGGGGGGGGGGGCGGCTAGAGAGATGGCTCAACAGTTAAGAACACTGACTGCTATTGCAGTCAATTCCCAACACCCACATGGCGGCTACAAACTGTCTTTAACTCCAGTTC